GTGGTTTTTATAAAAAACTCAGTTTGCGTATCAGCATCAAGAGATAGAAGTTTAGTCATATGGAATCCGATTAAATCAACAAATAAATTTCCTAGCTATATTCAAAAAGATGCCGCTCACGAAGGGTGGATATGGAGACTAAAATGTGCCCAAGATTCATTGTATTCTTGTTCTTGGGATAACAGCGTTAAAATTTGGGCCGTTAACAGCAATGATTTATTATTAAAGTCTACATTTTGGTAGGCATAATTTGAATAAACAAAAAAAAAAAAAATAAACAAATATCGGGATTCAAGTATACATTTATCATCATCTGTTAAAAAAAATCACTTTTTTTTTTTTTTTTGCATACCACCATTTAGTTCTGCCACTACTACTAAAAAAAAAAAAAAATTAATATTAAAAAACAATGAGAAAATTACTAACAATATTAATTAATTCAAAGGTGTTCGTCTCCAGTTTTATCTATAGAATTAATGAATGGAGCTGTACTTGCTGGAGATTATGGAAAATCTATAAGCGCTTTTGATCCAAGATGTGGAGAAAATCCAGTTTTTAAATATATAGAACATCGTCGTGCGGTATTAACATTGGGTAAACATTTTAGTAAAAAAAAAAAAAAAACTCAAAATTTAATTAGTAAAAAAAATAAAAATTAAATTTTTTAAATGGTAATAATGTTAAATAATCAAGAAAAAAAAATAGATTTATTTTTATTCAAATTTTTTTTGTCAGGATCAACGGGATCGGATGTGATTTCGGGAAGCGAAGATAAAACTCTTGTGTTGTGGGACAGCAGGAAAAGAAGCGTAAAACAAAAAATATTATTGGGAAAAGATAGATTTCCTAATTGTTCGTGCATGGACGATAATATTCTTTATATAGGCGACAGTAAAGGTTCGATTCACGTTTTTAACACGAGCGGAGATACCGTAAAAAGGTTAAAAATATACAATATTGGACACCAGAAACCGATATCCGTTATTAAAAATGGACGAAGTTATTTGTTAACTGGTTCACACGATGGTACAGTCAAAATTTCTCTTCCAATTCAACCATTAAAAGTTTTAACATCCATAAAAACCACAAAAGGCGAAGTTGGGGGTGTGAGTGTTTTTCCCTTAACACATTCATAATTAACACATTCATATTAATATTTAAAAGTAAAAAAAAAAAACGTTTTTTTTTTAGATGGATTACAAAGGAGGAATTCTAGCTGTTGGAACTTCAAATTATTTAGAATTTTGGATGCCCAAAGAATATATAAATTCAAATAATGAAAACGATTCTAATTATTTTGAATCCGGTTTTAGAACACAATTTTATTAGGCGGATAAAATTGAATGTGTCGATAAAATTTATGTTGTTGTGGTCTTTGTATTGTTTTTCAAGTTTTTTTGACACATTAACTTTTATTTTTAGCCATTAAATAATAATTATTTTTATTTAAACTTATATAAATATGTATTTATCAAGTTATTAATGTATTTGAAAAAAAAAAGGTTAACACTTAAGATTTTTAATAATCTATATGAAAATAATAATTAGGATTAAAATATTTATTTATAATTATAGTAAAAAAAAATAAAAAAAAAAAAAAAACTAAATCTCTCTTTTTAATATTATTAAAAGTTTATCAAACTTGGTAAAATTTTTTCAAATTTCTTTTCTTTTTGTTTTTTATGATAAAATGGCTGTGATAATAATAATATGAACTCATATAAAAAAAAACTTTTTTTATGTTTTACAATGAATCAAACTGAATATTTTAACATTTTGGGTTATTAATTGTTAGTTTTCCATATATTATTATTATTTTATATTTAAACATAATTAATGAACATAAACAAACGATATCAAACATTTAAATAGTTAAATTTAAATGAAAAAAAATTGTTTAGTTTGAATATAAAAATTTGATATTAAATAATTGAAATGAGACATTAAATAATTATTATATGTTATTTTGTGGTTGAGTGCGCAAGACCGTTTTTTTTTCTATCACCAACAGGGAATATATGACCTTGGTAAATTCGCATAATTTTACTGGATAATTTACTGTAGTAACAATTATTACTATTATTATTATTATTAAAGTGAACTAAAATAAATAAATAAATTGTAATTTAATTAGAGGAATATATTGTGTGAATTGTGAATTTAAATCAGTATTAACATTCTAAAAAAAAAAATATTTAATCTAATTTTTTCTTTTTTTTTTTTTTTCTAATAATTGTAACCTTTTTCAGTATAAGCAAGGTCAAAAATATTACTCAATTTATCGTTTTTTTTTTTTTTTTTTTAAATGGGTCAATGTCTGAAACAGTTGCCCATTAAAAGCCATAACTGAAGATATGGTTGCGTTTATTATTGTTTGACATAAAGTAAAAGGAAGAAAAAACAAAAAAACAAAAAAAAACAAAAAATGTGGGGGTGAAAAATTATATTTAAAAAAAAAAAAAAAAAACATTAAAATTAAAAATAGAAAAACAGAAAAAAAAAAACAGGAAAAAAAATTTTTAGTATTTTTGTGTTGTATTTAAATTATGTCTAATCAAAACCTCGAACAATTTCAACATCAAAAACAAACGCAACAATATATTGTTTCACATTTAAACAATGATATTTATAATAATGGTTTGAAATTTGAAAGAGATCGAACATTTAGGAATAAACTTATTATGAAAGCCATATTAATAATGGCTTTATTGCTCATTGTGGTGGCTGTTTTATGTGCAACTATGGCTAAATCTTCTAATAACAACACGACAATATATAATGAAACAAAAATTATTAAATTCCTCAAAAAAGGTATGATTTTTTATCAAAATATGTTATTATAAAAAAAGATGAACATTTTAATAATTAAATAAAAAATTAAACAATATTTATTTATTTATTTTTTTAGTGCCATTAAATTACGATGACGATTTGGAAGAAACGATTAAAGAAAGAGAAATTCTTCAAGAATTAAAAACAACTTTTATACCTCATACGTTGAATTATTTAAATTTTCAAATAATTCAAGAAACTCAAGAAAAACAGGTAAAATACAAGACCCACAGACCTGGAAAACACTGGAAAATTTTTTATTTATTTATTTTATTTTAATTAAAAATTATTATTTTAAGGTAAGATATAGAAGACAAAGCGCTTTGGAAATAATAAATTCAACATCAAATTCGTCGAATAATACAAACAACAATCGACAACCGAAAAACGAAAATAATTTTATTGATAAAATTTCCCAGGTAATTTAAATTGATTTGAAATTTTAAAAAAAAATTAATGTAATTAAAATTAAAAAATAATTGAAATTTATTTATTTTTTTTTCATAGGATAATAATAATAAAAAATGGAAAAAAAATTATAATTTTAACGATCGTTACGAAGAAATTTCTATGTTTTGGAAAAAAGAACTTGATAAAGAAAGCATTAGGAAAATTCAAGGTACGACATTTTACAATGGAATCTTTTTTTTTTTATTATTTTGAAAATAAAATGTTTTCCAAATGTTTTAAATAAATTTTTCCAGCGGAAAAAATGTTGTCTTACATAGATGAAACGATAAATCCTTGCGAAGATTTTTATCAATATGCATGCGGAAATTGGGAAAAGAAAAATCCAATACCAGAAGACAAAGCTGGTTTTGATACTTTTGAAATGTTAAGAGAAAGTTTAAATTCAATTTTGAGAGATTTACTTTTGGAGGATGGTGAATCATCTGAAATCTCTGATGCTGCCAATAAAGCAAAGGAACTATTTGATAGTTGCATGGATGAAGGTGGATGATCAACAGAAGATAATTCCAAAAAAAAAAAAAAAAAAATTTCCAATGATACATTTGAAATTTGGAAAAGATTAATTGATTTTATAACGATAAAAAATTTTTTATTAGAAATCCTGGAGGAAAGAGGAAACGAACCTCTTCATGCTCTTAGTAAAAGCCTCAAAGGCTGGCCAATGATATCACCAAACTGGAATTCATCTGATTTTGATTGGTTACAACTTATGGCTGAGTTAAGATTATACAATAACGACATACTCTTAGCTCAGTGGGTCGGACCAGATATTAAAAGTTCAGCGAATTATATTATTCA